GCCACTCTCTCTTCCTCCCCCTTCCCCTCCCCTCTCTCTCTCTCTCTCTAGTTCTTCACACAGTTCCTGGGTTCCTGGTAGGTAGGACGGCAATCCGCTGGTGGCGGTCGGGAAGGTCTCAAAGAAGAGGGAGCAGCAGAGGATGATGAAAGGGAGGAACCGAAGGCACAAATGAAGCAGAGGAGGAGGAGGAGAAGGGGGGTGGTGGTGATAGGAGTGGTGGTGGGTTGCAGGGGAAGAGGAGAACCACCACCACCACCACCTTGGTGGGTTTTATTCCAATGGCATGCCATCCATGTGTATACACGTGACGTCATCACAATTACATGTGGAATTCTATGGATTTCACCTTCTCCTCTTCTTTTTTTTCACCTTTTTCCAATAATATTTTCTTTAATTGAACTAAATATTATATATATATATATATATATATCTAAATTAATTTAATATATCTCAAAACACAAGTTATCATAAAATAATAATAAGTATTTTTTTTTAATTTTTGGATTTTTATTTACATGTTTCTACACAGTTATATATATATATATATATATATATATATATATATATATATATATATATATATATATATCACTCTTAAACCAATGCAAAATAGAAAAAAAATATGGAATACTCGCGAAAATAGTTTCAAAAATAAGAAACTCAAAGGTAAAAAATATAAAAATATTTTTTTTATTGTGATAAATGATACCAAAGTAAAAACAAAAATACATGCCATTGGTTTTGCACGATGGATAAGATTGTGGACCGCAGAGGATTCCTCGAGTGGCAAAGAAAGGAAGCCCAAAAGCTGGCAATAATAGAGGAGGGGAATGCATCAATCTGCCTTGTTAACATTTAGTGGCCATCGCTATAGGAACAAAGCAAAGTAGGAGAAACCTACAAATCGATTCCTTCTTCTTATCACAATATTTTCATCATTGAGCAAATTATCTCAACAAATAATATAATTATAAGATATAATGTACGTTGGATTCTTTCATGCATTCATGAGGTAGATTTTGATTAGGATGAGCTATGGTTGGTACCTCATATCATCCTATCCTATCCTATGAGTCTTGGATTCAAATTATTATACACTATAAAGATCTTTTTCTATTTGTTGCTATAAGAGACGTTATGTCGAATAAAATTTCAAATCATCATTGAGTTCAATATCTTATGTGCGAATTTATTAGATAAAGCTTTGAACCTTCTTCGTCATTTGGTAAGTAGATTTAGTACATCGTCATAAGATTAATATTTTATGTGTAAAAATTTATCGGTGAGATTTTAAACTCTCACCACCTTTAATAGGTAGATTAGTACGTCACCCATATTGAACTAATATTTTAAGTTAGATTTTATCAGATGAGATTTGAAATCATCGATAATTGATAAGTGAATCTAATACATCCCCCCATACTAATATTATATTATATTATATTATATTATATTATATTATATTATATATATATATATATATATATATATATATATATATATATATAATCTCAAAAGTTTTGAATCTTTCACCTTCTTGAGTGAGTCTCATTTATCAATCTTTGATAAGTGAGTCCAATTTGATAGTCTTCGTCTCAAATCTAATCGATTATTAGTTGAGCATATACAATATATAAAATTTTAATTGCTTTAATAGTATATATATATATATATTGATTTTATTTTTGTGGATGAGTGTGACAAATGAACTAATCAAATGAATCGTGATGAAATTTGATGAGGATGAATATATTCATTTTAATTTGATGATGACATGACAGGTGAACTAATGGGAGTACAACCCTTTGCGGTGGGTGTGATAGGGTGCATGTCATGCCTCCTACTCAAAATGATTCACATCCTCTTAATGTTTCCTATACTTCAGCCTTCGTTACCTCTCCTAAAAGTTGGCTAAAACTTTCACTTTCAAACAAAAAGAAAATATGCTAAATTAGCATATTATTATTTATTTATAACAAGTCGATAAAATTCTTTCGTCCTATCGAGGACCGACACACAAATGCTAACCTAACGTAAACGATAAAGTTGATTGTTTAAACCTACTACAATGTCAATGTCAATCAATCGAAATAGAAAATATTCTTTGAATTATTTAAAAAATAATAATTTAAAAATATTTTCCTAATTACATGTTATAAATAGAAAATTATTCTCCGGTGATAATTTAAAAATATTTTCCTCCTTCAAATATCATACTTTGAGAATATTTATTTAATTAAATCAAAAATAGACGTTAACTATTCTTTTTCGAGATTCGTATGGTAGGATGATTATCATGATGCATCGAGGTTCTAGATAAGATTAGATCGGATCGATGATAGATTTGGAGACTAACATTACATATCTTAAGGAAAGCAACACAGGTCGACTACCATCTTCCGGTTCAAAAATAGTACACAGCTAACAGAGAGTTACTTGTCCTACTTAGCACCATGAAAGAGAGATGATGCTAACATGTGAAGTTGACACACACACACACACAGGAGGAGGAGGAGAAGCGTGTGAGAATTCTCTTTCAACCATTTGATATAAATTTGTGCACATTTTTCCACCATGCAGCTCTATAGGTTTGGACTTCTCTCACACTCTCCAGGTGTTAGAAATTGCAGCCAACTCGATTTGGATCACCCACCCCACCATTTTTATCCTCTGCTTGGTGACCTGTCTCAGAAGGCAGCAGGAAGAAGACAGAAGAAGGATAGCTACCTTTTACAATGGCAGAAGAGTTGGGTTACTTACTTGTCCATTGGAAAAGAAGCTTCTTCGATTGGTTAATTACTTGCTCTGTTTCCTGTCACATGGGAAAGCTTTGGTGACAAGTAGAAGCTAGTAATCTTTTGCCTGCCACCTTTTGTTGTTTCAGATGCAAGAGCTTGTGAGATTTTTATTCTTTTGTTACATCTTTCATCCAAGTTGATGGATCAGATGACAAGGAAGCTGCAGGATTAAAAGAACAATGGTTGAGAATTTTGGATCAGATGGTAGGACTTTTCATCCACTGAAGTTTGTGAGAACAGATCACAGTTCAGTAGTTGTGTTGGGTGAGACATCATGTCAAATTGAACAATGGGCTCTTATTTCTCTTCCAAAATGAAGGATTAGGTTTAATTTTCTTATATGAAACTATGAAGTTTTTGTATTCTTCTGAGTTGAAATATATCAAATCGGATTAGATGTGACTAAAGTATTTATGTTAAAAAAAGAATATATCCTCCTCCTTCGTTGCTCAAATTCGAAATAGGTCGGAAATGAAGATATTACTATATGGAGATATTAAATGTGAAATTAAAGAGAAAAGAGTTTGTCCATAGATTTTTTTTTAATTTCAATTATATGATGTTGTAATAATTCTTTCTGAATGTAAGGTTGTGAAATTAATAAGGGCAAGAACATAAATTGTTTTCTTTCTTATTATTTATCAGACAAGAATAGATAGAATTTTATATCTTTTTTTTCTGTTTAGATTATTACTGATGAAACAGTATAAAGGACAGATATCATGACTTTTCTTTGTGATCTCAGACAAAGACAGATGTGGAGAAAGTTCAAATGATTTAATTACTCAGACCATAACTGCATAGTTTAGACACATCAAGAAATGTTTATTGTCTTTTGGTTCAAAGTAGGAGTAAAACACAACATACCTCTGTAGATGTAAGCAGCATCTAACCCAACCATTCATGATTGTCATGGAAAGACTACTTTATTTTTTTTGACAGGCAACAAAATAAACAGAGGCATTCTGGATAATGGAGTCGTTGATTTGACGAGGAATAAAGCATTGAAGCACGTTCAAAGATGAAGTTGATGTTGTGTTCATTCACCAAATGGATGCCTCAGCAGTGCTGCTTTCTTTGCATCACCTTTATAGGTTAAAAGTTGGAAGTACTGTTTGTCTTGTGGAGAAAGTTTGGACTCAGCCAATTGACAACCTAATACCTGATGTTTGGATGAGAAGATTATTCTATTCCATCGGGAAGTCATTCTTATGGTGCATCAACTTTATCAACTTTGTTTTTGATGTGACCATTAAACTTAGTGTCATTTTTCTAAGTTAAGCGCGCTTACACGAGAGCGTGTAAGAGCAATATTAAGTGCGCTTACTCGAGAGCAATATTAGGACGGATCCATGACTTCATTTTTCAAAGGTAAACATGCTTTCTCGAGAGCAATATTAGGATAGAGGACAGTGCTTGAAGCTCCAACTTAAAAAACATGGGGGAGCATGAAATGTTTAGCCCAACACTAATCTGACAATTTGACACCCATCTTGTGAGATCAACATGTTCATGAGATCTGATGTATTTTACCTAACACAGGTGTATCTTTTTCATCCAAACAAACATATAAACAATGAGGTTGCCAATCCAAATTAGTCATCCGTACTACACATTATAACTGGAAGATTAAGCTGCAAACACTCTGAGGGAAGACATTGGTAACCAAGGCCTAGCTTGGTGGTGGTTTAATCCTCCTGGAAGCAATGCACAAGCATTCAAAAGAGGAAGAGGAAGAGAGTAGTTGCATGATGAACTGCCAATTTAATCCTTCATCACAACCAGAGAGTAGAGAGTACAACCACATAGTTTGGTGATCTTTCTCCAGAGGTCATGCTCAAGTCATTCTTCTCCTTTCAATCTGTTTGTGGCTTTTCCTGGTGTTGCCATTATGCCTAAGTGATAAGAATCCCCCATTTGTTTCTCCCTTCACACTCTTTATGTCATGGATTACAAGACCAGTTTGTGTTGCACTCTCATTGCGAGGAACGCAAGGTATTGATTCCTGTGCACAGTTCACACAGAAGAACATCTCCTCCAATATGTATGGAATCACTTCTGTTCATAGTCTACCAGAATCTAATTCTTCTGTTCAGGGTGGAAATTCCATCTGCTTTTTTCCTCGGTTCGTAGAGCTAAGAATCAGATACCAGCACCAAGTTCTGTTGCACTGAAACATATGGATTTCATCAGCTTCTCCACTGTATTTAAAGGACTTCGATCAGACAAAGATAGCTCAATTTGTTTGTTGTGGAAAGAACACTTCTCTGAAGCTAAGAGGAAGAATGGGTAATTTGTTCTCCAGGACAAGCAGCGGTCTGGTCATCACAATCCACAGCAAAGGAAAATGGAACCAGCACTGGCAGTCGCATTTGGCATCCAACAAGCTGGTACATACTAATACCCACCAATCCAAACCCCAACCTTTTGCAGTCTTCATCTTCTTGATGACTCCACTTGTTGCATTGCAAGATGGTGATTGACTTCTCGTCGTCCAATTGCGGGCCATGCCGTTTCATCAAGCCGGAGATCAATGCCATGGCGGCAAGGTACACTGAGATCGAGTTTGTCAAGATTGACGTCGACAAGCTCATGGTGAGTTCCACTCTATCTGCTTCACTACCATCAGTTTATGCCACTTCAAACTGAAGAGCTTACGGTTGGGGTGATCTACCGCAGGAGGTGGCGGAGAAGTGGGACGTGGAGGTGGTGCCGACTTTTGTGCTGGTAAAGAGAGGGAAGGAGGTTGGCAGAGTTGTCGGTGCCGACAAGAAGGAGCTCGAGGAGACGATCCAGCAGCAGCAGCAGCATCAGCAGCGGTACTGAAGAAGGAGAACCGATGCTTCATTTCTCCTGCAGATGAATGATGGGAGCTCTTCATTCCCTTCCTTTCCCTTCTTCCTTCTAGGCAAACTTGTTCTAGGGTTTATGCTCTTGTTCCATTCTCCTAGCTGCTGCTGTGTTGTATGAATCAATCAATGAATGAAGTTTTCATAGTAAGTCATGAATATGCAAGTTAATTGAAGTTATTGCACGGAAGATGAGGAATTCTGAAAGGCAAACATCATGCATGAATTTAATGTAAACAATTGTTTCACGTGAGATGAGGATCGACCATTCTTAAAAGTTCATATTGCACCCACATAGAAAAAGGGAGGAGGAAACATCTAACCTCAGCTCTCTCATCTCTGAGCTCTCCGACACTGATCAGTTCAGGTAAGATCCAACCCGCATCACCATTCTGTAAGTTCCAGCTTTGTTACACATAAGAAACTATGCCATCTTTCTGAACTAATAGCAGTATGTGTATATGTGTTCCAATCGTGCATTCAACCATTGCCAATTCATATCATCAGCTGAACAGTTCATTCTTACTGCAACCAAATTATGGTGTGCATGCTTAGCTTTTCAGAATTTTCCTCCATCAAGATTACCCTTTTCCTTCTCCTCCTGCTACCTATTGTTGTAACTAAATACATCGTTAAACATGATGCATGCATTTAATGTAAACAATTGTTTCACGTGAGATGAGGACCGAACATTCTTAAAAGTTCATATTGCACCCACATAGAAAAAGAGCGGAGGAAACATCTAACCTCAGCTGTCTCATCTCTGAGCTCTTCTACACTGATAAGTTTAGGTAAGATCCAACCTGCACCACCATTCTGTAAGTTCCAGCTTTGTGACACTCATAGGGATCTATGCCATGTTTCTCAACCAATAGCAGTATGTGTATGTGTTCTAATCGTGCATTGCAACCACTGCCAATTCATATGATCAGCTGAACAGTTCGTTATTACTGCAACCAAATTATGGTGTGGATGCATAGCTTTTCAGAATCTTCTTCCATCAAGATCATCCTTTTTCTTTTCCTCCTGCTACCTACTCTTGTAACTTAATCCACCAGGTTGCTCAAGTGTTTTCTCGTCTACAGGCTCGAGCCCACTGATGCTTTACAACTGTTTATGAGAAACTCTCTTCTAATCATTTTGTTTACTTCAACCTCCTGACTTGGTCTTCATGTTTACACAGGTTCAGAACTCTTGACATGGCTGCAACTGCAACTCAAAAAGAACAGAGTGAACCAGATGGATTTGCTGCAAATCCATGGCACCTCCGGGCCCTGCATCAAGCAGGTAAAATGCCCTGTGAGGACCCAGATCTGATCATGGTCCCATGGCTCGAAAGGTCCGTCCATTCCATCATCGTGATGGCAGTCGCTGCCTGGTGTGATCAGAGAGCGGCGGAGGATCTCTGTTTGCAGTTCACCAGCAAAATTACCACCAATGGCAGCATTATCTCACCATTCTCTTCTCCATGGTTGATCCCCACTCATCATTCTTGGTCTCTGGGCTTAGGTTGATCTGCAACTTTGGAGAAGAACAGGATATTTCTACGTGCATCTATCCATCAAGTTTTCCAAAGAAACAGCTGAACACAGATCAGGCGTTGCAATATGGAATGTGTTTGTGACTTCACAGGTCATGGAAATATAAACCAGGGGTAAAGTCTCTAGTGATGTGTTGCACTCCTAAAATCTTCTTCCCATTTAAGCTCTCAAATTTTGCTACATTAAGCATGCAACAGCAGACCAAAAAAAGAATGGCATTACAGCAATGCAACTTATTGATGAAATCTATGCAAAATGCACATAAGACCCTGCACGAGGTAAGGTTATCGCATTTGCCGAGTAAAAGATAAATTTATGAATTTACTCCCAGGAAAATTAGATTCATGGATGTCTACGTTTGATGAATGTACAAATCAACATGTGTATGCATACTTCTCAAAGAATATATTTATAATCCAAAGCTTCAAAAGGGCAAATATTAAGATGCAAATGCTTACAAGGTTTGGGATCTTCCAGTACTGAAGTCCCATCTAATTCAGCATTCAGCCATCAGTTCTGGACAGAAGCTCTAGGTTATTGCACCATCCCAACAAATGCCCAGTTCTTGGATAGTATGTCATCTGGACTGGAAGAGGTGCTTGGAAAGCGGTAAGGATCAGCCTGGTTAGTATCTAAAATTTACCCAACAATTCATACAAAAAGCACAGAGAAAAATGAGGCAAAATTTTGCTGAGAGCTATGCTCATCATTAGTTATCAGTCTTTAGAACAAAGGGCGATGAACTATCATGATCAGATCACCGTTCGTGCAAAAAGCACCACCTACAGAAAGAAGACATCACACAGGTTGTCTGTTTGCTATCGGAATATGAAGAACAAAGCTGAACTGGAACATTAGACTGAATCAGTCGCGTGTGTGGCTGCAACAATATATAGATCCCAACCAGGTATGCATATCATCAATCGACAATAAGGAGGTTATTCTCATGACCATTGTTGTGCACGATAGGGTGCAGTGGATCAGTTTTCCACACACCATCAACAATGAACTTGATCTGTTCCAAAACACAATAGTATTTTGTTGTCCTCTGGAATCATGTGAAAGAATCAGTGGTCAAGAGATGAACTGTCGCTTACCTCATACCGGCCAGGGTACAATTTTAGCTGTAAAGTGAAGATACAGGAACTTGATCTTTCCATCCTTCTCTGAAAATATCATATTGAAACATTATAAATAAGCCAGAATCCACAAATTTATGTGATGAAATGAATATAAGAAAACTAGAACATCTGAAGTTATAAAACATAATATATCACATGACAAAAAGTAGGAATATCAGATGATACTCAATTTGTCGAGCTTCGAGTTAACAGCCCCACGTGTCCATGGGGACCATCATGGACAAGTGGTGAACTCACAGTTGAAACAGTCAAATCAAATTATGTGGATGATTTTAAGCAGCTGGCCAGCAAGTGGCTAGTTCAAGAGTCAAGTATGCTGCAAGTGGTCAGCTTAAAAGCCAGGCAAGATGTTGCATGATTCAGTTGTGGGATTGATATAAGATTGGTAACACTTTCGGAGTTGCATGAGAGCTGATGGCTGCATGTAGATGACATGGCCAAAGTTGAGTCAGTACGTATGTGGTTCAGATAGTCTATGCTACAGAGCTATGATGTGATTGAGACAGCCTGTGGCAGGGTGGAGTGATGATCAAGATCTCACAAATTACTTGTGGTTTGATGCTCAAGTGAATAGTCTTTTCCTCGGATGATGTCTCACATGTGTCTTTGGCCCCTTTGCCAATGAGCAGGTTCCAGGTCTCCCTCCAATCAAAATTCAAGGACATCATCTGCTCTCACCAATTCTTTCATGCCAAGCAGGCAGCCTTGGAAGACAGAACTGGTCCTCTAAATTCTTATGCCAAGTAGCAACTGAGATATCAAGAGAAGCATGAGCATTCGTCTACCATCTCTCCTTAGTTTCTTAAAAAAATTACTTACAGCATTCTCATATTCTGAAAAATTACATGGCGGCATGAAAGATGCAACCATTATACTTTCAAGTGTTTCCCATTGTAGGATTCCTTTGATCATAATTATAAAGTTTATGCTAATCAAGCAGGCATATATCAAATTAGCAGACGGAACTGACCAATCAAAAACTACTATCGAGTGAGAGGTACCCAACTAATCAATGATAGCGAGCTTTCCAACTTTTTTTAGAGATTCTGGGACAAAATAAAATTTTATCTCCCGGACAGGTTACACTCAACAGCCAAAACTAAAAAAAAGCTCAAAAAGAACAAAATTAAAGCCCACATTCATTGATCATAGTTCTTATAATTATTTACATTCATAAACATATGAATTAAAACTAAATCCACATTTTACCATGTAACAATATACATCATCTATCACACAAACTGACTCTGAAAACCATAGAATAAACAAACCTGACCAGTCCACCCATCAAAAGACCCTGCAAGTAAAACCTCTGAAGCAGAATTAGGCCAGACTATATAGGCCATACGAAGAAGATGTAAAGCATTTTGAGCAGCATCAATTCTTTTCTGTCTCTCTTCCATTACTTTTCGTGCTTCCCTATGAGATAAACACCAAGATCACTAACAAATATAGTGAGGACAGAATTCAGGAAAGATTCAAGACAAAGCTATGAAAATTGCCTACATGATCTTAAAAGACAAGTTTCCTTCTAAAATTGCCAATTTTGCTCGAACTGACTGCAACTTATCTCGGGCATTCACTATCTCAGTCTCTTGGAATTCCCAAGCATCAGAAGGTCTATGTAGCTCATCTATCGAGTTTCCTTGGTGCTGAATAACCACAAATAATTGAGAATACTAGTTGAATTTTTAAATTTTCACTGTTATATAAGACTAAATGACAACTGAGTAAATAAACCAAATTAAATCCAATATGTGATACAGATATTTGCACATCATATGAGCAAATTGTTTTCTTCATGTTTTCAGAATCCAATGACATTCCACATAATATATACCGAGGACTACATAAATATCTACTACCTCGGTTGCAAATTAAGTCATGCAAACAAGATTCAATATAAAATTATCCTAGACATGAAATGAGGTCTTTAAGAAAGGACAAAGAAAAGACAAGCATACTATACGTTCATCACAAAAAAAGTTGAAGCACCAATAGTACACAAACCTCAATTGTATTCTTTCTTCAAAGGTTATTAATATATTGGTCCCTATATTTGGATTAATTACTGAACAATTCTCACTTTTTTATTTTATATAATCCAACACCACTACTTTTAAGTTTACACGAAACTAATCTCTCATTTTTCATCTAAAGATTAGCATATTATAGTATTTTTAATCATTTTTAACTCATTACAACGTATTCATGAAACTAATATCTCATTTTTCATCTAAGAAACAACAGTAAACAAATTGATAAGATTTTATACAAGAAAGGAATAATAAATTAACAAAAAAAATGAAAAGAAGTGTATTCAATTATCATATGTTTCTTTAAACAAAGGGGTAATAATGTCATTTTGCATGTCTGGTTAGGGTGAGAAACTGAATTAAGTTATATTTTATCAAATAGCTGGCAAAGGTAAATGATGGAAATTGAAATGTGATATAAAAAAAGGCACTGTTAAATGTTAATAACTTTCATCCAAAGGTTAGAAAAAGAAACGTCACAAAAGATCAGTACAATAATAACCACATCAATACAAAAAATTAGATGCAGCAATTACGTTGACTACATAAACTTGGAATCACCATCTGATTACTGAGACAGCAGATTTTAACATCTTCAGAAAGATAACTAACCATAAGTCCAAGGGTTAAAGATTCAAGAAGCTAATATACTTAAGCAATTATGTTTTCTAGGAGTTTTCCACTATCTTTAAGATGAATGTAAAGATATTGCATCCCATATTGATAGGTAAAGAAACACTAAACAATGAGATATGAAGGAAAATGCACAGATTGTAAAGTCCACAAACAAATTATACATATTAACAAAAAGAAGAAAGACATGTCATACCTTATGTGAAACAACACCATTAGCTCTAGATCTAACTAACCAAAGTGCAGAGCTAAGATCTGCCTCCAAGTGCTGAAGATGTAAATGTCTCTGACTTTTGTCAGCAAATGACTCCTTCATCCCATTATGAGACATAAATGAGTTCTGAGTTTGTATATGCATAGTGCTCCATTCAACTTTTAAAGAGTCATCCTCTAACATCTTTCTGTCATCAGTGGGAACAGTTTCAGCAACTGCAAAGCACAAAGTTTGTGACATGAATTGACATAGAAATTTAAATTGCAAAGCACAATTTGTGAAAGTACTGTCGAACTCCGCTATAGAAAAACCTGCCCTTTGAATGCTCCAACTCCTCCACGTCTGGCACTGAACTTTTTGTGCCATTAACATCTTCCAATTTCCCACCTTGAGTATGTACACCATCAGAATCATGTAAAAAGAAATATTCAGATTCTGCTGAATCATATTGATGTTTCTCTCATTGCCAGAAACAGCCAACTTATGGGCAATTAATACTACATATGAATTAATGAAAGATCTAAATTTGTAAAGACTTGCATAAACATAATTTTCAAAAAGGGACAATTCATTAATAAAAGATGTGATCATCAGTTTGTGGACCAGCATCAGAAAAGGTATAATCCAAAGCTTCCATCAAACTCAGGCACAGCCAACCCAGCATATAAACAAGGCTAAAACCTTTGCTTGGTGTTGGGACCAATCTTGTTTCATTTTACACAATCTATCAATGTTGTCACAAGTCCAGGCAGTCTGCCTAGGTGCTTGAGATAAGTGCCGTATATGGATCATCCATGGACTGGGGGACAATCTATATCCTATTCAATATATCAACAGATTAGGTAATAACTGGATCATCTAAGAATAAGCATGAGCCACATCTGATTCTAATCAGATTGGTTCGCAGACTGGGTTGGAGTGAGGGATGGATAGCCAAGGCAGATCATGATCCAAATTAGTATGGATTATCTGGTTAGGATTTGAGGTTCTAAATCCAAAAAGATGTAATCTAACAAAAACTAGAAAAAAACCTAGTATCTAGTTTACAGTGTATTTTATGCATATGATTATCATATGTGGTGATGACTCATATCTCCAGTGGTGGCTGAAATGACTCGGAGGCTAAGGAAGGCTGATCATGAGTTGCCTGTGAGGGACTCTCCAATACTAAATTAGCACAAGGATAAAGAGGAGACAAGAAAAGAAAGGACAACAATCAGAGACATAATGTCGTGTTTGGTTCTGTGCCACTGCACAATATGACATACATTAAACTCATCAAAGATCCCCTATAATAAAAGTCAAAAATCAAAATTAAGAGGACAAAAAATGATATTTTGTATCACCATTGTCAAAACCCTAAATTATAGTCTAGGCACCTATTAATGATACAAGCCTCCATGGAAATGCTGAGTGCCCTGCAGATTACAAGAGGGTTGGCACTGCGGTCACCATCTGCTGGAGCAAAAGGTAATAGATTTCCCTGAGCTTTCATATCATTTTCTCTGATTCTTTATCCCTCTTCCAAAATCCAATACTAAGTTAATATGGACAATGGAAGAAAAACATACAAGCAAAATCCACTGAACACCATGTGATTAACTGAACTGATTAAAATCGATCCAGATTACCAGAATGGGGATGACTAAAGAAGATGATGTAAGGCTGCAAGTTTGGTTATAAATTTCAACAAGGTACAAGTTTCTAGAACCTTATATTTATCACTAATAACTTTGTGGGATATTGCTAATGAACTCTCAAATTAGTTAGATCTTCTTGCTCAAATAGAAAAATTATCATTGACTACTTTCTCAATTGCTCCTTTCCAAAATGAAATCACATGCTTAATATTTCACTAGCAACATAAATTGCCACATTAAAATTAAAGGGGGTTTGGCGGCAAAGCATAGCTATCATTGGAAAAGAGGAAAAAAAAAACATAGCAATTTATTTTCTTACATATATCTGATACCTATAATTCCTTTCATCAAAACTCATGCTTCTTCATCATAACTGTGGAGTGCAGCAAAGCAACAGAATGTTTTACACATATTATCTCTGTCTACTAGGTGGGCCTTCAGACTTCAACAGCTTCAAATTTGTTGAACTCAGAGTTCAAAGTTTTAGAGATAAAAAAAAAAAACTGAAAACCAACAAACACAATGTCATGCATCATCAATTTTTTCCCAAATAATTACGTGTGCAACTCCATTGTCTATGCTAATGTTGAAAAAGAGAATCATTCAAGAAAGTGTTCTCCTTAGATATCACCTAAAAACACCATAGATTTCCCTCGTGTGAGACTGGTGTCACTCATCTCTTTGTAACAAAATGTACTATCAGCCTATTCTCCATGCGATATCTCACATCCATTTAAATAATTATTCTCATCTCATGCATCATTGTTGACTTCTGATCTACTTCTAAGCAGATACCTTCTAGTTAAACTATCATGAATCTGTTAGTACTAAACTATCTCATCTATGCTAATATAACAGAAGCTACTTTGTTACAGACAATATGGATCCAACAGATGAATGTACCAAACCCCTACGCATCAGGCATGATTTTTATGAAGCACTAAGCATGGAGGGAAGTTCGTAAGGGACATAGGCTGTCAAGCATCTTACATTGAGGTTTAACATATCAGAAATGTTGCATACGGCAAAAACTTTGTCTTACTCCAAAAATCTTTCCTTAAGGTCGTGTTGTTAGAGATACAAAAGGTGCACCAAAGACAAGCTGAAACTTCCTGATGTGCATTAGATTAACAAAGTTGGTACATCCAAAACCATAACCGGCAATAGGTGATCCTAACCCAATCAAAGGCAAACTCACATGTTGCATATATTGTACTGCAGCTTTGGCCGTTAGGCAACAACTCATAAGACAATATAGATGATAAGAATTTATCAAGGAACAATCTAAATATCTTAGATGCCAGAAGAGAAGCAATAGCAGCTTCACTATGATAAGCAAGCTAATTGGTCTCTATCTTAAACCCCGACAAAAAGAAAACCAACCTGTATCTCCTGGATCATGCACAGCATTCCTCCATGAGTCTCGACCATTCACCACTTTCCCTCTTGAAGCCAGCGCAAGAGAGAAGCTCCTCTCTTTCTCCAGCCTGCTCAATATCCCCTCGACCCCACCATCCTCGAGATTCTCCATCTCCCTTAAAAGTATTCAAACAAACAATCAAAGAAACAAGTTAACCAGAGCAGCAATGAATAACGAGTTAATAAATCAACGAATCATTCAAGAAACGTAAGCTTCACTCACAATGATCTCCCGGAAAAAGATGGGGCAGCGGAACGATCCTCACAACCCAGAGCAGTTGCAGGATTAGTCCCCAAAGAACCGTTAAGAACCCTTTCTTGATAGACTTCACCATCTTCTTGAGCGACGTCACTCATTGATTGCGACCCATCGATTACTTCCTCGCCGCCATCATCAAGATCCCACCCAAAGGTGAGCCAGCCGCCCTGCGCAGCCACGGTCTCCGCCAAGTCGGCCCTCCCGGCGGCGACGAGCTCGTCCCTGGTCGGGAAGTCCATCGGCTTCGCGGACCTCCGCATGAACTCGTAAAGCTCGGCCTCCACGTCCATACTCCTTGGCGCCATCGCAAACGCATCCTCCTCCTCCCTCGCTTTCACGACGATCTCCTTCCTCCTCCCACTCCTCCATCCGCAGATTCTAGTCCTCGACGGGTGGAGCACCCCTAAAGAACCGATCTTGGCATGGAATGGAGCTACGAATCTCGGCGTGGGGAGGGAGGGGAGGAAAGAGGAAGGAGTTGCGACGGAAGGAGGAGAATACATATCCCCACATCACCCCAAGCCGCAAGCTTTGCGGTCAGCGGAGGAGGGATCTGTAGTGCCGCAAAAAGGTGCGCCTTTCTTGCTTGCCTCCTCAACAAGCGAAGCAAAACGGAATCAATTAAAGAGGCACAAGGAATGGTAGAAAGCAAAAAAAGGAGGGAAGGGGAAAGAAAGAATTAACGGAAGGAGAGGAAATGTTGAGAGCTGGAGAACAAGAATTCTCTCACGGACAAGATCTCGGCTTGGTTCTTCTCTCTGAAAGAAACGGGAGAAGAATGGAGAAGAAGAATGCTCCCATGGAAGGAGTGGGAAGGAAGAAGAAGAAGAAGAAGAAGAATTCCAACTCCAACGGGGAGGGTATTTTATCATTTATCTCCCCCACAAGATTTATATTCAACAATATGCTCCTTATATTGAGTTCTTAATGGGTTTTACAAAGTTTAGTTACCACCTGACATCTATGCTCGTATTTATTTTCTACTTTCATCTTAAATTCGATTGATAGGTGTTTGCTACTTATCCCAAAACTTGATTTAAGTATCTATTGTTCGACTTTGATTCATATTGAATTCGATTAATAGGCATATGAGAGTTTCAGCATGACGGATCCGGATCAGGCCAACATAGGATCCGAATCCAAGATCGGTATCGCGGGCTCCTCCGTCATGGCCTACTTTTTCAAGGAAGCGAGTCCTACACTGATCACCAAAAGAAACAGATAAATAAACATATAGTTCCAAGAAATCATGTTATCATTTAATTTTAGCTAATTAGGTCAATAGAGGATAATAACAAGTCCAAAGATGATTGACTAATCATGAAGGTTATTTACATCCTCAGCCATTCAAGATTGTGGAAAGAGAGGGCATCATTTCTATAACTTGTACACTACAACTCCAAGGCTCTCTCCCGCTCTATGTAAAGGAAAGCTCCATCCTGGTTTAGATACAAGAAAGGGATGGTACACTTACATCGAACTTTGCCCTTCTTTCCTCGACTGATCTCTGTTTCCTGACAATAGGTCAATCCACTTGAGTCACGATATCGTTTGTCTCACAATGCTGCTTTACAAGTTTGCCCGCTTTTCATCCCTCGGTGCTCTCAGTTGATTTGGACATGTTGCATCGTTGAAGCTGCGAAGATGGAGCCGCAGCAGCAGATTTCTGAACCTCGGTAGAAGAAACAGGGGTGGCGCTGCGCGTGGTCTCTTCTGCAGGCAGAGCAACAGAACCAGAAGAAACAGATGGATTATCCTCTCCTTCAGCATGCTCATGGCCTTCCGTCTTTTCTCTACCAGCACTCGAGGCTGACAACAAATATTGTGTAGTTATATACAGAAAGGAAACCAACTAAGACATATCACGCATAAGACGAACAAGTGCGAGAATGATGTAACTAACCTGCATGAGTTACACTAGCAGGCATATTTACTTGCGACACCGTGGATGTCATGATTCCCTTCTTCATCCTTGACTGCATAAGATGGCATTTTAGAAAGTCAGGCACAGTCTATTCGATTCCTCACATCAATTATGCAACTTCAAGTATTTACCTTTGCCTCTTCACAGTACTTCACAACAGCTGAGATATTTGAGTAGCGGCCATGCACCAAGGTGTACGCCCATAAAAGCAGCTTTCTTGGGATACTCAAGTCAAGGATATCACTTATCTCCTTTCCTTGCTGTTGTAGCCCTTCTACAGCTGTTTGCGACAAACTTACTGTGTACAGGTTGATGCCCGATGGAAATGTTCCACAAGAACTCTCTCGATAGAAATTGTAGGTACATCTCATCAAGGCAACAGCAGCCTCCATGTTTTCTTCTGATGTTTGTCTAATCTGAATATTCTTGATTTTACATAAAGCTTCAAACCAATTCATGTCAAGGCCTTTAGATTGAAAAGGACCTTCCACCGGTGAAACCAAAAGCTCGTCTGGTTGTAGATCCACAAAAAGTAGTAGGCTATTCTCCACACAACTAAGCTGACCACTGGATTCTCCAGAATCAGGTAATGGAGTGATTAATGCCAACTTAATCGTAATAGAACGGCACCAAGCTAAAGACGCATGCTTGCAAATTTTTGCAAAGTTATTATTTGTTAGTTTTGGATTTTTAAATCGCTTTCGGATCTTTTCATTTATCCCTTCAAGTGCTTCCAGCCGTATATCACTCTCCAGCAAGTGAATGTACTGATGGATGTAGCTGCCATAAAAAGCCAAGCTTTGTAAAGAAGCAATGTAAGTGATGTTACTGTTATACAAACACCAAAATAGCTCGACTTACTTGTAGAGATTGCCTTCGGATAGGTCTGGGCTCTTCAACTCTGGTAGGCTGATGATATCAGTCCACAAATTCACATGGTCCATAAATATGTTGAACAATTTCTCCAACATTTGCTCGAGAGAAATGGAGTTATCGGTAGCATTGTGGATCTCAGCATTACAGATTGATGATATCAGAACCTGAATGTATTTTCCCAGAGCAATCGGAACAATGTCTCCCAAGCACAAAGCAAACTGAAGATAAAATGAAAGCTGTTGTTAATAAAAAATAATAATGATCTGATGGTGTATGTTAATAAACATAGTGACATGCAGAAAACAGAAACCTGCAAAAGAAATATAAATTATTTCACATTGTAGGTATTAACTAACAAATACCCTCTTATCAGTTTTGAGATAAACATAAGCCCTATCAAGAGTCCACAAATCCCCTGTCTTCTCCAGAAGATTCAAGTAGAACAACATGTATTTCCGGACACAAGTAATAAACTTCCGAGAACTTTCTGACAGGCTAAGCTCCAGACTCCTTTTGTTTCCAGAAAGTCCAAGACTCTTTCTCCTGGAAAGAGAAAAGAGATCATAATCAAGCTAAAAAACATTTGCATAAACAAGCATCATCAATAGCATATATAAAACCAAACACAAAGACCAATAAACAGATTAACAACAAAAACAAGTACCTTCCCTTTCTTGCCATACCATCAATCTCCCACATGTTCATAGTAAATGAAGATCGAGATGACTTGAAACAAAAGGAAAGTTCTTCTTTTGCCCTCTCCAGGTCTCCAGCCTCCCCCTTTCTATATAGCCCTTTGGCAAGCATGTATCTTGCTTTATGGAAGTGTTTCAGCTCGCCTTCCACACAGATTCCAAGAGCTATGAGGCAATCATCATAAAGCATATGCCAGGCCTTATCTAATAACTTAGGATCAATAGTCTTCTTCTCCTTTGTATCATCTTGATCAATGACATCCTTCCCATCCAAATTCAACTGCATAAGGTCTTGGTTTGTCCAATCGAACATCTCTTGGATCTTCTCCCTAGTTGATTGACTAAAGGCATGTGTAGCAACAACCTGAAACCTCACAGCTTTAGTCATGTCAATTATGTTAGGTATCATGCATAAGAACCAATAGGCTGTCTTACAATCTCAATATAGATATATAATAAAAAATGCTAGAACACTCAACTTAATTTACATGGTCAGACAAATGGTACAAGAAGGTGGATTGTGTAAAAAGTTATAAATCATTATATTGTATTTTCTCTACTCAGCTGCACACATTTGAATTTAAGTCTATGAACAATCAAGATTATACAAATAGGCCATTGTTTAGCTAAAAGTTTCTGCAAGTATGACATGTAGTATCCAAATAAAGTGCTAGCTTATTAGTTATTTATATTGATATTATCCAATTACTTCTAGGAAACAGCTAGTTATTTTCCTCCCGGATGGTATGGACCAAGATGCAAATAACTGGAGCGTATACTATTGAACCTATCAACTCCCGAGTTCAGGCCATTTTAACCAAAGTTGCCAAGGGCGTCAATTATTTTACAATCACAAGTTTGAAGAGCACTGGCCAGCATCTGGCATGGTAAGTCCATCAGCAAATGTTACAAAGAGGCATTGACAACAAAGGCATGCTCATGAAATCAAAATGGGGAAAATGAAGAGAAAAGAGAGAAGATGGAGAACAGAATCCCACTCAGGATCCTGGTGTACAGCTACAACCAGGTGCTATCTTCAAATGTCCTACAGCAAATCCAAAGCAAGAAAAAGATCAACCATGTCTCCTGATTAATGAGAATGTGGAGCTTCAAGATGTCTCTTGTTGAATATAAAGACAGCTTAAAAGGTGATACCTAAATGGATAAAATGGATAGGTAGCAAGTCACCACATATTTTTTAAGCTTGTGAACAGTGAGACACATCGATAATGAACTTAAATCTCAATGGATCTGTGACCTTTTTGTCTCTTAGGAGATGAACATTTGATCCTTGAATCTGAAGACATCATTATCCCCTCCTTGTCAAGAATTTTACAAGTATAGGTTATTATAGAAAGTTGGAACCCTGATTCCATTAGATTAGGCAAATGCTTCCACCTGCCAACTAATCATTTGGGTTTCTAACAAGTCCATCTTCTGCCTCAGTTTGCTTTGTCATCAACTTTCAGAGGATTGACATCATACCACAAAGAGCCAAAAAGTTCGAAAAATCTTCTATTGATCTTCACATGGAATATTATGATCTTTAGTGACCTCACATATGAAGCAGAAACTAAGGTGAAATATATGCACATGATTGCAATCCAGAAATGTCTGAATATAAATCTAAAAGACTAAGTTGTGAATGAAATTTAAAAAAAAAAGAATTGTAGAATGACACAGAACTATACAGAAATAGAACAAGCTTGTAAATTGTATTCTACTGAAATCAGCAATCTACATATAAAGGTATACCACGACTATCCAGTGGTACATACTGGTCAAACAGGGAATCACCATGCTGAAATGTTCTAAAGAGCTGTCACAGCTGTCAATGTGGCCACAATGAGCTTTCCAATATGTAAATCCAGTATGTTACGATAAAGTAGCACAAGTATTTTTTAATATATGACATGAATGCCTTGAATAAGCTAGAAAGATCTTCCGTTATATTTGTAAAAGAAAAGAGATGCTAAGGACATTAGTATTCTTTGCCGCATGTTTTCCAGAAATATACTTATTCTAAAAACAAACTATCATCTCTCTGTCAAAACTAGAAGTATAGAAATTAGAAAAAAATTCATCTAGCAATTGACATTATTAAAAAAAGACAACAAACAAGCAATTTATAGAAGCTCTTAGTCAAACCTGAATAATATCTAAACTTTGTTTTCCTCGTGTATAAAGCAACTTCATGCGTGATGCATGCATTCTGTACACAGGATCAACAGCAGAAGGATTTAATGAAGCAGCTTTGCTAAAGTAATACAAAGCTTTAGCAGGTGATTGTCCCATCTTTTCACACAGTTTTCCAAGGTAAAAAGCGTGGAGCCATTCAGACCTAAT